GTTCATTTCGACCGCATGCACAACAAGCGAACCCGTGCCGGCACCCATAATTACGTTCACTTCGACCACATCCGCAACCACCAAAACACTGCTACGCGCAGCACATTCTGATGAGCTGGCATTTGGCGCGGGCCAATAATGGGGGGGGGGGGTAGGTTTAGTGTTAGTGCTTTCCAGAAATTGTTGGGACCCCTTTTTGGGAGTCCCAGCTCTCAGGGCTACAGTATTGCGGGGTATATATATGGGGATCCCTATTCTTGTAAGACATGTAGAGGCTATACTGAAACATCCCATTACTTTGGAGGATAAAGCTTCTGCGAGATTGCCACCGTAGGGCCTGCAACAACTTGTTACCGTGCACTCCTAAGAAACCATGTAGACGTTGACCCTTTCATAACAGCACGAAACCTAGACTTGTGTGGTTGTCTAGTTAGTGTTCTGGGAGAAGTGACACTGGATGGCATTGTTCGCCCGCAGTGCGCGAATTGAACCCTAAACCCTAAACCCTGAATAGTAGTTTCCATTTCTTTTCCATTATCCATATAATCCCATATATAACCCCATATGATCCCAATATTACCGGGGTTCAGTAGAAGAGCTGGGTGTGGCCTGAGACGATGGCCCAAACAAGGGTTTATATCCGAAGTACCGACATAACCAAAGCTATTCTGCATTGCAGCCTTAAAGGGAACGGCATGGTGACTGAAACTTTTTGCAAAAGAAGGATCCCAAGTAGCCTGCCGCCCTTAACCTAGAATTCTTCGGCAGTGCCTAAACCCTAAATCCTATAGCAGAAGCTCAGTTGCCCTCGCCAGTCGCCTTGGCTTGCTCATGCTGCATAGACTCCAAGTGCACCTGAGGGACCCTACTATGAAACTAGGGTTTAGGGTTTTATGGTTTAGGGTTGGGGGCTATCATATTTTGAAGGCTATGTTGGGATACCCAGGTAGCGTTACACGGAAAAATTGAGCTATGGTCTACACTCCTAGTATCCGCCTAATTAACCCCTTAATACTCCCCTATAATCCCCTTTGAGGAGTTCAGACTATAGTTCTTAAAAGGATTGTAGGGCGGCATTCAGCTTATCACGGGCAATAAGAGAATTTCGGTAGCCCGGATTTTATAAGTCACTTTAGATGGGCTTTCGATTGATTATGTATAAGGGTTTAAGGGCAACATTAAAGACAAGGGCATTACCCTGTTATAGAGGGTTAGACTCAGGGGTAATGGAGAATCCCATGAACAAGAAAGATGGAAAGTCAAATGGCATCTGGGCTTCAATACGGGTTATAGGAATTGTATTCGTCAATTCAATGATAAGATGCGTTTGGTGGCCCCAACCGCGATGTATAACAGGCACTCCGTAAAAGTCGATCATAGTCGTAGTGATGGGTTGTTGGTTTGACGGCTGAGACTACCCAACTTCCCTGCCCTAATCAGCTAAGCTTGAGCAACACCCCGATATTCCGGATAACGCACCTCACAATTACGAGCCTCTCTACGCTATAGAATCTATAGAATCCTGATACCACCTTAAAGTTTGAAGCCCTGGAGCTACACAAGAAAAAGAAGTACTGTCAGAAAAGAATCAAACCTTAGTCTCTTCATCAGGCCCAAAACCCAAAACCCTGAAACCTGACACCCCAAAGCCCCAGACCCTGTCACCGCCTGCACGAGCTGTTCCCTGAAAGTTGCCCAGGCTTCATCGAGCGTCCGTTTGAAAGCCGCCGCATCATGCATGTTGAGAGAGTCCGCGGGGCTCACTTCTGAACACCGCCAACTCTTTGAGCCCAATCAAGGGTTTAGGGTTTAAGGGGTTTAGGGTTAAGGGTCTAGGGTTTAGGGGCATTATTGGGATATAGGGTTTATGGAGTATATGTTGGGGTTATATGGGGATAATGGAAAAGGAAAATGGAGACTACTACTTAGGGTTTGGGGTTTGGGGATATTATCGCCCTAGAATGGGGAATCAAATGGAAAAGAAACGGAAAATAAAATGGAACCTGGGATTGCGCAGGGGTTTAGGGGGATTAGGGCTTCCATGCCAAGATGCAAAAGGTAATACGTAGGATCTATGGCAAATCCATCAACACGACTGCTGTAAGGACAGTTACTGTAAGGAGGAATGACCCAACCCCTCCTCCAGTATCAAAGACCCCACACCCCAATAGCACATGTTGGGGTGTCTACCGACTGCAGGATTTCCTGCCTGGGGGTTAAAGGCACACACCAGTGCTTCAAGAGTGACCTTTAACTCAACCCGCCCGTAAAACTTCGTACGCGGCCGTACCCTGATTTGAAGACGAGTCCTTTACAAATTCTATTTCCTCTTGGCACCTGCAAAGTTGGCAGCAACAAGAAATGGTTCTGTGTTTCTTGAAGTTATCCCATCGGACCTTCGAATACATGATCATCTTCATTCCAAGTATCTTAAGTACCGGGTGGGAAGCCCCAGATGAGGCCAGTGCACCCACGTAATGACTACCCCCCGTGCAACTCTGTTCGGGGTACCGTTGGGGCCTGCTTAATTCGAATGAGGTTGTGGGGTAAAAAAAATTGCTGACTACAGCTATACGAGGGACTGTGAGGGACTGTATTGGTAATTGACTCCCCTGAAAGATTCAACCGAAAAATCGAAACCTGGTGGCCGTCGGAATCAATGAGCTTGTAATGCAAGCTGTGCGGCTAGCAAGGTAAGCTGTAGATCCCAAGCACTAAAACCTAAAAGGGCTATGAAAGACCTCAGAGGCCTGTTTTAAGCTTGTGCGTGCTAAAAGCCAGTCCTCCCCTATCGGCCAGCAAAGAAACGTCGATATCTACATGGCTTCTGGACAGCTCATTGCTGTTCTCCGCATCCAAAAGGTTTTCCTTCCCTTTTACTACACAGTCCTAGTGTCCACGCCGTCTTCCGTTTGCATTTCCATTTGGTTTTCCATTCTATACTTTCCTCTTTTCGGTACCCCTGTGCTTCAGGAAGGCAGGCGCTGTACTTCAAGAATCAAAAGGGGCATAATGCACCAGTCATCGCCATCCATTTTCGATTTCTTTTAAGCTGTGAAGTGTTCGAGGCCATACCAGCTGAGGTCGTCGTACCTATAGCCCTTGTTCCTTAGTCATAGTTCGGGCAGTATCAAAGGCACGAACCTAAGGTTCTAACAGAGCTTGAATATGAAGAAAAAGCAACCGCAGGCATCTGCCAAAAGACGGCCTTCAAAGTGGATCCCTAAGCTTCCCAAAGCCTCTAAACCTCCAGCCTGATAAGCCTCGTGCAATCATAGAACCGCACAAATCCTGACTTGGCCCCACTTGGGGATGACCCAGGCTCCACCAATAACAGAGCTGTTGGTCCGGCCCCAGAACGCGGACATCTGGAAGTGCCCCGGATCCAGGTGTAGCCGGAACTCCTTGCAGAATTGTGCAGGGCTTAGGGTTTAGGAAATTGCCTTTTGCCTTCTGTGTGGTCTTGACTCAAGTTGTGGCTGCTGGGTTACAGGTGGCAAGGTTGGGTTTCAGGGCGCAGGCTCAGCCAGAACTTTGCCGCACAGTTGCAGGATGTGCATAGGGTCTGACACTGTCGAGGTCAGACTGACAGAACGGCCGTACCCCTTCCCACCACCGTGAGCTCCAAACAGCCCAGCTTTATTGGAGCCCTACATGTTCCCTTCTAAACAAACCCTCGCTTCATCAAGCGAACTGTGCCATTCCTCACGGCCTAAGCTCCGAACTCGAAATCCTAGACGCTGACACTCCTACCTCCCAAACAGCCCAAGAACTTCTTCAACTCTACATCTCAACGCCTAGCAAGAGCCGTCTTCAGCAACAAGCTCCTTTGGCTCCCATGGCACCTGGCCGTCGGCAGCCCTCTCGTCGCCCCGCCGCTGGTCCGAGGCGTGGCTTTGCGGGCCTCATTTGCTTCTCTATTGATTCAATGCCGAATCCGAGCTCAACAAGACCAGATTCCAAACATTGTTGGGGCCGGATTGGGGGTCCAAAGACTACTCTTTTTTGCTCTGAAGGCAGAAACATTTTGGTGGCTTGCCAACAAAAAGCAAGTAAAACAAACAATTTCCAGACCCTAAAAGCTCCAACAATTTGGGAAGGTGCAGGTTTAAGGTGCGATCTCAAACCCGAAGAGTCTGAAGTTTTTTGTCGCGCGGAACTGGACGTTTGTCCTTGCCTTTTTTTCTTGGGGGTCGCCCCTGTCAGTGGACAGTTCGGATTAGATAATTACTACTATATATGGTCCCATCATGAGGGTTCTAGGAGATATACGTACAGGATTTAGGATCAGAGTTTAGGGATGTAACACTGATCTTCCCTCAACAAACCCATGCAGAGAACTTAGACGCAACATGGGTGCTCATTGTAGATCCACAGGACTCGGGACTCCCTTTGAAAGACCTAAACCCCAACCCTAAGGCTTTGACCCTACACCCCATTCCGAAGGCTCCGTTTTGTCATCCGGTTTAAATGTCCAGGCGCAAGTCCAGCTCACCACACGACTTGGATCGCAGAGCTTGCAACCCAGAGCAGCAGCAAATTCCCGCTTTGCCTAGGTCGCAGCGGAAGTAACATTTAGTACAGAAACAACAAAGGTGGTAGTGGCAGCTGTAGCTGTCGTAGAAGAAATAGAAATTGTAGCAGAAGATGAAGTAGTAGCAGCAGCAGAAGTAGCAGTAGCAGCAATAAAAGAAAAAGTACTAGTGTTACGGTTATTACAGCAATACCACTACCCACGCCTACCCCTCCAACTACCAATACCCCTACTAGGACGGCCATGACGACTAGTACTTCTAGTGCTACAGTACTGGTAGGCGGCTGTCCCGCATGGGACCCGCCCAAAATGCAAGCGAAGCGCCGTTTGAACATGTGCAAGTGTTGAAAGTGCTGGCGAAGGCAGGGAATTCGGCATTACGGCAGGAACGCGCCGGAGTCTCATGTAACCGTTTTCGGGTGCCCAAATCTGGTCACCGAGATCAAAATGTCAGGTGGTAAAACTGGAGTATGGGGTCTACCGTGACGGATTTTTTCAATTCGAGGCGTCGCAATGGCAGAGGATGTCACCCACCACCTGCCACAAGTCCTGCTGAGCATTCCAGAGTTTCCGCTGGAATTCTTTGACACGCTGCACCATCGCCTTATGGTGCTGGGCTTGCACTTCATGGAAACTGTTCATCCATGTCCAGAGCCTATCCAGGATGCGAGTGCCTGCAAGCACTTGAGACCTTTTGAAGGCAGCTAATTATGCTTGCACAATTTTGTCCGCTGAGGACTGCCCTTCTTTTGGGGCGACTGTGGTTCACATTATCCATTCTGGCGCCTAGGGTTTTCTTTAAAGCTGGAGGGAAAGCTTGGAACCCAACCTTTTCCAGTGCCATTTCCCCACAAGGTTCACCCCTTATTCCCCACTGATAGGCTTACAGATGTCTTTCTACACTCGCAGGGGCATGGCAGAAGCAAAGGCAAACGCGGCGGCAAGGAACGCCGTTATACAAAGTAAAGCTGTAGTATGCCCCTGTCGTGGTCGTACCGGTGAATTCAGTCATACCTGTCGTTGTCCTACCGGCGAAATTCCCC